TTATGGCAGTTTTTGTGTTAGATTGCCATGAGTAGTTGTGACACAGTGTGGTCTACATAGCCTAAAATACTTACCATGTAACCCTTTAGAGAAATTTGCCTGTCCCTGGCTTAAGCCACAGTGAAGTTTATTATTTATTCAGCAAGAAGTTGGGAGGTCAGTGGTCCCAGGGTTGTTTTGTTATTCCTATGATGCCCAAGCATCTGGTTGGTGCCCCTTCAATTCTCTAGGCTGTCCCGTCCTGGCAGCTAGATGTCTATGGTAGCTCTTGGTGTTATCTACTTACATGCAGGGAGGGAGAGGCTCTCACTTTATTGTGGGAAATATTTCCCAGAAATTCCCCAGAAGAACTCTGACTCCTATTGACCAGAACTAGGTCATATGTCTATGCTGAGATGCAAAGGAGGCTGGAATAGTAAGTAGTGAAAATAGGAATAAGATTATAATATTAGGCCAAATATTGTGTTTCCTCTGAGCTGGTCACCCTGGTGTTCAATAATGTCAGAGTTCTTTCATCAAATAAGGGATGTCTCCACAGGGAGTTTTGGTGGAGGAAACCCTAGGGGATAATGATGTGGGCAGAGTGAGGTTGTTAAAGGATTTGAATCTGGTGCCAGAGTCTTCGACTGAAATCTAGTTTAACCGCTTAGAGACTGTGCAACCCCAAGTAAATGAATAAAACCATGTAATTCAGCTTCCTTAATTAGCATGAAAGTTTGGACCAAGTGCAAGAGGCATTTTATTTTTTTTGGCCACACTGCACAGCATGTGGGATCTCAGCTCTCTAACCAGAGATGGAACCTGTGCCCCCTGCACCGCAAGCATGAAGTCTTACCCACTGGACCACCAGGGAATTCCCAAGAACCATTTTCCTAGCAATACTGCTTTCCTGACACCACACCCTGATTTTTTCCCTGACGAATGATAAAGGATTGAGGCCCTAGGATGTGAGTTCTTTTGTGAATTTTAAAACATCTCTTGTTACAGGAAATTTAAACCATATACAGATGTTGTCATCATAGCATGGTTAATAGACTCACCTGTACAAGATACCTAGTTTCAATAATGATCAATTTAGGAGAAATCTTGCTATGTCTCTATCAGGGTATCTCAATGGCAGCATTGTTGACATTTTGGTTCAGATACTTTTGGGAGGCTGTCCTGTTCATGTAGGATGTTCTGGAATCCCAGGCTTTGACCTACTAGATGCCAGGAGTAACACTTCTCCACCCAAACTGTGACAAGTACAAATGTCTCCAGATATTGCCAAATGTCCTCTTGGAGGAAAATCACCCCCAGTTAGGAACCACTGATTTGTACCAGTTTCTCCTTCCATCCAAAATTAAGAGTGTTCTTGGAACGTCCCTGGTGGCCCAGTGGTTAAGAATCCACCTTCCTACCCTGCTGATGTGATTCCATCCCTGGTTGGGAGCTAAGATCCTTCATGCCTGAGGGCGACTAAGCCCGGGGCCAAAACTAGAGAGAAGCCCCCGGGTGCAGGCACTGGAGAAAGCCCACGTGCCGCGGTGGAGGATCCTCCAGGCCTCGGCGAAGACCTCGTGTGCCGCAGCTGAGGCCTGACAAAGCCAAGGAAGTAAATAAAAACAGGAAACACCCCAAGTTCCCAAAACAAAACCAAAAAACCCCAGAGTGTTCCTATATCATCCTTGGTAAACTGAAATGAGGTAAAGGGAAGTGGCAATCACCTTAGGACACATAAAACAAATCAAGATAAACCACCGATGCTCACAGACACAGCTGAGAGTTACGGCAGCTTGATGCTGAAATGCTTGGCAATGCCAGTTGCTTGGGGCGTGTGCTGCCTCTATAACGCTCACTTGTTAAGACAAACACTGCTATTTTCCCTTTTTATCTTTTTCTGTAAAAGGAAAAAATCCTCTTCGGGAAACAGGTAACAGGAAAACAGTGGTGGTGTGAAGTGAACCTTTGAAAAGTGGGGGATGCCTGTAACCTCGTCCAAACCAAAGGCCAGGATAAGTGCTATCTCAGTTTTCTGACACACACCACCCATATTCCTTGGGCCCATCCTTTGAATGGTGTCTTGTCATGTGAAGTCACATGACTGAGTTCGTGATAAGCAAGAGCTGGATCTAACTGACCTCTGAATGGTATAGGGACCCATAGCCTAAGTGCCCCGTGAACACTGGGTGAAATTACTTTAATATATTCCCTATTGACTTCGGAAGTTATGTTACCTACAAGGAAGTTTGGGATGTTAGTACCCAGGTCCTGCTTCCCATGAGGCAGGTGCCTGATGAGGAAGGGGAAAGACATGGCTCTCTGGGGACCAGTGGTCTCTCATTTGATCATCATGCCTTCCCCCTGGCATCCCTTCGCAGGGTGAACTCAAGGCTGAGCTGCCAGAATTCTTCTTTTTCTGTGGAATATGGAGAGACAAGAGTTCTGTGTTCTTCTTAATCAGGTGGAGCAGACCCACGGGCTTAGTCTCAACATTCCCAAGAGTAAGGCTGGAAAGGGGAGCCGATTTCCCATCTGGCAACTCCTGAGCTGTATGAGCTCTGGTTGCGAGCTTGGCCTGACTGCTTTGAAACTCTGTAACTCTGAGACATGCACTACGTGAGGGATGTTCTCCGGGCGTTATTTGCCCCTCTGTGACCAGAGCAGAAAAAAGGTCTGGGGTGAGACATCAAAGGCACAGAAACTCTGGGGTGAGTTTTGTTTTGTGAGCATGTGATCATTACAACTCCCCTTTGAAAGTGAAGGGAATGCTACCCAGGAAGGCCGTGGTATTTTGCAAAGTGCTCTTATGCTGGTCTGGTCTTGGCCTGAGGCAAGCACTGTGCTTAGACCTGGGATTGAGGGATGGAAAGATGTGGTCTTGGTCCTTGGTGACCTTTGTTCTTTCGGTATTTGCTGAACCTCTGTGATGTACCAGATACTGCGCTAAGAAGGCTAGGATGATCTGCATGCACTGATCCTCCATCCTGTGTGCATTCAGTGAGTGTGATTTTCTGCAGGTGCTTCAGTTAGCGCTGGAGATGGAGTGGTGGTAAGAAATGATCTCTGCTCTAGAAAGTTCAGTCTGGTGGGGCAGATGGTCACATAAAATAATTACAGTAAATTCAATGTGTGCGTGCATGCTAAGTGGCTTTAGTTGTGCCTGACTCTTTGTGACCCCGTGGACTGTAGCTCAACCAGGCTCCTCTGTCCATGGGATTCTCCAGGCAAGAATGCTGAAGTGGGTTGCATGCCCTCCTCCAGGGGATCCTCCCGACCCAGGGATCGAACCCACGTCTCTTGCATCTCCCGCATTGGCAGGGTGATTCTTTACCATTAGTGCCACCTGGGACGCCCTACAATTCAATGTGCAAAGTGCTGTATTTCCAAAATGTTCTAGGAGAGGAGGGTCACTGAGCCTAGGGTTCTATGGATTGCAGAGATGGATTTCCTATTTCTGAGAAGGTTCCGAGTTTGCAGAGTTTGAATGGTAGCATTTCAGGTACACAAGGGACTATTATATAATTCACTGCTTAATGTAGGAGTCTTTTGTTTCATATCATTTCAGATCACCCTTCCAAATTACCACCTCCTGGTGACTACATCATGGCTAAAACACACAATGTGACAGAATTTATTTTCCTGGGACTTTTTTCCAATCAGCTGGTACAGAAAGTCTGCTTTGTGATATTTCTGCTCCTGTATGTTGCCATCGTGCTGGGGAATTTCCTCATTGTCCTCACTGTCATGAGCAGCAGAAGCCTCGGCTCCCCCATGTACTTCTTCCTCAGCTACCTGTCCTTTGTGGAGATCTGCTACGCCTCGACGACAGCCCCCAGACTCATCTCAGATCTTCTGGCTGAAAGGAAAGCCATATCTCTGTGGGGCTGCATGTCACAGGTTTTCTTTATCCACTTGTTTGGTGGCACTGAGGCTTTCCTGCTCACCGTGATGGCCTATGACCGCTACGTGGCCATCTGCAAGCCCCTCAGCTACACCACCATCATGAACCGGCAGGCGTGTGCCTTCCTGGTGGGCGCAGCATGGGTGGGGGGCTTCGTGCATTCCTTGGCCCAAATCCTTCTCGTCTTCCGCTTGCCCTTCTGTGGCCCCAATGTGATCGACCACTATTTCTGTGATGTGCTTCCCTTGCTCAAACTTGCCTGCTCTGACACCTTCCTCATTGGTCTTCTGATCGTTGCCAACGGGGGGACCCTGTCTGTGATCAGCTTCGTGGTCCTCTTAGCCTCCTATGTGGTCATCTTGCTCCATCTGAGGACTCGGAGCTCCGAGGGGTGGCGCAAGGCCCTGTCCACCTGTGGGTCCCACATCACCGTGGTCACCTTGTTCTTTGGGCCCTGCGTCTTCATCTATCTGAGACCTTCCGCCACCCTGTCTGTGGACAAGATGGTGGCCGTGTTCTACACGGTGATCACCCCACTGCTCAACCCCGTCATCTACTCCCTGAGAAATGCTGAAGTGAAGAAGGCCATGGAGAGGCTGTGGGTCAGAGCAATGAAGCTCGAAGAGAAATAGAGGCTCTCTTGGTGTTGATCCTTGATGGTGAATAAAACTGAAGAAAGAATCACTTTCTAGGATTTGTTGTTTTTAGATTACTCCAACTGGTTCCCATCTTCAACAGCTTCATTGTAATCGCTTGTTAAATATTTCCTTTTATGGATATACTATTACTTAACTGGCCATTTTTCTGTTACATGTTTAAATTGTTTATATATTTTTACTACTATAAATAATGTGCTAAGTATTCTTGAATACAAATCTTTAATGATACTTATCATTTTAAAATCTAACTTGCTATCATAAATTTACTGCATTAAAAGGTACTATAACTTTTGATGCATAGTCTCAAATCAATTCTCAGAAGGTTTGTAATCCAACACAGTCATTAAACTTTTTCTTGGTGAGAAATAAAATTTTATACACTCTCAAGTGATCTCCCCACAAGATGTTTATGAATTGTAAAAATTTAAATGTAACTTTACAGTTGTGAAACCTGGTAGACACTTCCTTTAACAATGACTCAAATTTATTATTGCCATTTACAAAGAGCCATAAAATGTCAGTGTGATAGTTCTACCCAAAATACATAATCTGATTTTAACTATGATAAAATGTCAAAAAGACATTAGTCAAAAGACATTTTGAAAGGAGAGAGATCAAGATGGTAGAGCAGGAGGAAGCTGGCTCATCTCCATAAACATATGAAAACTACAGCTACGTATATAGTGACTCTCACTGAAGTTGATGTGGGTACTAGAAGAATTGTTCTACAACCAAAGCTGTAAAGAGAGATCCCCATGGATTCTGATGGAAAGGGAGGAGATGTGATCTGTTTAGGACTCATATCCCTAGCGGGGAGCCCAGAAAAGGAGAGGATATTATAGATTCAGGGTATTGAGGGGTTGAAACTACATATTAGGCACCCCAGGCCTGAAGTCTGATCCCAGGAAGAGGAGCTGTCTTAGCTGGTTTGAAAACCGATGGGGCTTACCGGAAGGATTTAAGAATCCAAGACTCTGATCTTAAAAGCACACACATGGCCTTGCTTACTCCCAGTTACAGCACAAAGACAGCAGGTTGAAAACTGCCTGGTGATCTCACTGTCCTTCCAGCACCACTCAAGCATGCCACTCCCTTACCTGTCTGCTCTGGGGCTGTTTACCGCCAAGCCAGAGGCTGCCACTAGTGACAGGGGGCACAGACTAGAGGGAACAAGCCAGAATGGATCCAGCCCCTGTTTCTGATCAGGGCAGAAGCGGCCGTTGCCAGTGCCTGCTTTGGTACGCACACTTGGGAGAGGGTGAGACTAGCTCCAGGGCAGAGAGAGCCTCTGCTACTGCCTCTGTGCACATCTCAGAAGGGAGCGAAACTGGCTCTAGGTGAGACCTCCATCAGAGGACTGAAGGGAAAAAGCCTGCCACCTAGATAATCTACCAGTGAGGTTATCTTTCAAAATTGAAGGAGAAATAAACTTCTCAGACAAGCAAAAACTAAGAGTTCATCAATGCTAACCTGACCTTATAAGATGTATTAAAGGGTCTACTTAAAGGAAAGAGAAAAGGCTACAAGAACTAAGAAATTATAAGAAGGGGAAAATTCCACTGGTAAAGGCAAATATATAGTAAAGGCTGCGGATCAACCACTTAAATAAACTAGCATGAAATTTAAAAGACAAACAATGTAAAATCATCTATAACTACAATAAAGAGTTAAGGAATATGCATGAAGATGTAGACTATAACATCAAAAAATGTGGGGAGGAGTAAAAAATGTAGAGATTTTAAAATGTGTTTGCATTTAAATGACAATCAGTTTAAAACAAGTAGATATAGGTCAACATATATGAGCTCCGTGGGAAGAGTTGACTCATTGGAAAAGACCCTGTTGCTGGGAGGGATTGGGGGCAGGAGGAGAAGGGGGCAACAGAGGATGAGATGGCTGGATGGCATCACCGACTGGATGGACATGAGTTTGAGTAAATTCCGGGAGTTGGTGATGGACAGGGAGGCCTGGCGTGCTGCGATTCATGGGGTTGCAGAGAGTTGGACACGACTGAGCGACTGAACTGAACTGAACTGATATGAGCTCCATGATAACCACAAATCAAAAACCTACAACATATACACAAAAACTAGAGAGAAAGAAACACAAAAAACATTAAAGAAAATCATCAGACCACAAGGGAAGAGTCTAAAAGAAGAAGAAGAGAGTAGAACTACAAAAACAATCAGAAACTAAATGGCAAAACCACTAGTCCATACCTGTCAACAATTACTTAAAATTTTACTGGTCTAAATGCTCTAACCAAAGACTTAGGGAGGTTATTTGGATAAATAAGCAAGACTTATCTAAGTGTTGCCTCCAAGAGACTTACTTCAGAGCTAAAGACACAAACAGACTGAAAGTGTGGGGACGGAAGGAACATATCATGAAAACGGAAATGGAAAGAAAGCTGAGATACCAATATGCACATCAGACAAAGTATGCTTTAAAAGAAAATCTATAATAAAAGACAAGAAAAGACATTACACAATGATAGAGTGATAAATACAAGAAGATGATATAGCCTATATAATGTCAGGAAGCCTTGAACAAGAGGCTTCCCATGTGCTGTCTTGGATCTGTCAGGAACCCTCTGGCCCCTGTCGATTCCTGAATATTCAGGAATTAAGAGGAGAGGCACGCCTTTCCCGGGGCTGAGGAATCCAGGCATTTCTCATCACAGTGATAAGTACCCTCTTCCTTTTTATGAGCCAAATGGTAAAAGGTGATTGTTTGCAGCTCTCTCTCTTTGATAGGGATCATCTTATGTTTTGCAAGTCTGGAATTTTAATCTTTGTCTTTGCTGAGAATAACCACCTGGTAAGACAGTGTATATGCCCACGCCGTGTTGATTAAAGCACCTTTGCTCCATCAGAGCTTGGGTCCCCGTGTCTTTCTTCCTTTCTTTCTTCTCTCTCTCCCTTTCTCTCTGTCTCTCTCTCTCTATTTCTGGCTAATTCCTTGGGGCGCGGAGGCCCGCTGAGCTCCCTTTCTTGCCCAGGCTTCTAAGCCCCTCTCGAGAAGGCGCACCGTGCCTTCACCCACTCGAGAGCGCGCCTGGTGCCGACGTGCAGCAGCGCCGCCCTAAGAACACGGCTCTATTGGCTTTCCGCGTAAACCAGGGTATGTCAGCCTCTTTCTCTCTCTTACTCTCTGGTCCACCAGGTTCCGGTCCATTAAAGGACCAACAATATAATATAACTAATATAGGAGCATCTACTTATATAAGACACACATTAATATAAATTGAAATTTGACAGTAATGCAGTAATTGGAAGGGACTTGTCTGCTTATTTCATTGAACAGTCATTCAGATTTCTCTACCTGTTAACATCCTATCCACCCTCAAAAACCCACCTGAAATGCTGCTGCCTTAAAATTTATCAAAACTTAGGTACACACACACTTACAGACCATGTAAGTGTAAAACATGGTACTATTTGCAGTAGAGAGAAATGTAAACAAATGTGAAGATGCAGTATGAAGTCAAACTGCATAAAACTAATTGTAGTACATATAGTATGACTGTAGTAATTCCATTGCCACCTCCTGTTGCTATGACTGTGAGCTCAAGTGTTGCAAAGATACACTTAAAATGCATCTGATGCTAATCAATTACCCATGAGCAGTCACTCTGCAGTTTTTCTCAGTAAAAAGTTATCTCTTGAGGTTCTTGTGTATTTTTCATCATATTTAGTGCAATATCATAAACATTGAATAACACTAGGGGACCATTATGAAGTGCCACTAGTGATTCTAGAAGTACTTTTAAGAAGCAAAGTCATGACATTACAGAAAAGTTGAGTTGCTTGATATGTTCCATAGATTGAGATATGCAGCAAGGGTCTTCTGCCACTTCAAGATAAATGAATCCAGTATAAGGATGATTATTAAAAAAAAGAAAAGAAAATCCATAAAGCTATCATTGCAGCTATTGGTTCCATTGACGCTTTGTCTCTGAAGTCAGGAAGTACCTTGCCAGTAAGGGACTGTCTTTTAAATCTCTTTTGGTATTGGATAGTGCCCTTGATTACTCAGAACCCTATGAGATTAACACTGAAAGCATAGAAGTTGTCTGCTTGCCCCCAAACCCAAGTTGTATAATTAAGCCTTTAGATTGAGGGAGCATAAGGACCTTTAAGATTCATTATATGTGGTACTCCATGGAAAGGATTGTCAACACTATGGGAGAGAACCTGATAGAGAAAGCACCATGAAAGTCTGGAATAATTACACCAGCGAAGATGCCATTATTGAAAAATCCATGAAACCATCAAGCCTGAAACAATAAATTCTTGCTGGAGAAAACTTTCCAGATGCTGTGCATGACTTCACAGGATTTATGACAGAACCAATCAAGAAGATCATGAAAGAGATTGTGGATATGGAAAACAAAAAAAGGTAGGGAGTGCAGTGTTTCAAGATATGGATCTTGAAGAAATTCAAGAGCTAACAGATTGCACACTAGTGGAATTAGCAAAAGACACCTTGATGGAGATAAGTGCTTCCAAACCAGTGCCAGGAAATGAAGAAGACATCAAAGTAGCACCAGAAAACATTTTGACATTAGACAACATGGACAAGGGTTCCAATTAGTCAAGGCTGATTTTGCCTTCTTTTAAAACATAGACTCTTCTAAGAAACAGGCACAGAAACCACACAGTAGAAGGATGATTAGCACTACATAGAAACGAAAACGAAAAGCAAAAAGTCAGAAATTACGATCTATTTCCATAAAGTTACATCAAATGCATCTGCCTCCTCTGCCTTCCCTTCCACCTCTGCCTGAGACTGCGAGATCAACCCCTCCTCTTCCTGAGTCTACTCAACGTGAAGACAAGGAGGATGACGACTTTTATGACGATCTACTTCCACTTAATGATGAGTAAATAATCCTCATGTCATACAGTTAATAACCTTATCTGCTGTGTATGTGTGTAGGTGTCTTTGTGTGAAGAATCTATTAACTGCAT